TTACAGTCTCCTAATATTTCCCATGCACATGTCGAGATCTCCCCAAACACAGGGAGAAGTCGACATTTTGCTTCCATTTCTTTTTTGTTAATTGCACTTAAACTTACCTGCTTTATTATTGTAGTACAAATAAAACATACCTCCATGGATAATATATGAAAATTTCTGTTTTTAATTTTCAAAAAATATTCCTGAAGCCTAGAGTTTTTTTCTTAAGGTGTCGAGATATCCCTAAATTACCCAACTAGCCACTCTAATATTATTTTGCACACTTGTCTGCTGATGGGATATTTTCATGTACTTTTCCTCTTTATTGTATTTACGTCGTCCTCCAATAAATTAACATCATCAGCTTACGCTAATAGCTGATGTGTCCCATTCAATTGCAAACCCTCCTGCCTATCTTGCACTTTCCTGATGGCGTATAAATATAATAAAGTTTAAGTTGAAACAAGACGAAGTTCTCTTGTCATGGACTTTTTTACAAGAAATAAGTGACATGATATGTTGAGCTACTGCCGTAAGTACAATTACAAAAAATACATTCTGAACATTTGTGCAACCATGAGAGTGGGTTTCAAAAGATTATTATTGTCATTAAAAATTATTCTTACTTCAAGCAAGCCTACAGTAGTTAGATTATGTAAGTAAATAGGTTACATTGTCTGTAAACGTAAAGTATTGGTATTCTTCACTTTTAGCTTATCCATGCAAGTCGAAGTGAACCCCCAAAATCAAAAAATTCAATAAACTTCCACGATCCATGAGGCAAAACGTATCCTACTTCACAAGAAATATCATAGTTAATCGATTATGTGATGCTTCCCGCAACGGATAAGCATTATCAAATTTCAATAAAACAAGTAACGCTTAATACTGGTCCTAATATACTGATTTAACACGTCTTCAAAATCCTATAGGCCTACTCATGACTCAATTCAATTCATATCATTAAGTTGCCTGCTCTTAACGAGATATATCGATAATAAAATGGTCTCTAATATGAGCGTCCTTGAATTTTTTGTAAAACAGGTAAACTCATTTACTCTTAGCAATTATATTAATGAAAGTCTGAAGAAAACCGTTTCATATTACGTTTATTATTGATCAAAGAATATATTTGCGTAAATACAAAGCACGAAATTGGTATCACAGACTAGGTTTTATCTTCGATAACATGCTTGGTTAACTTAACGTTTCTGATGTTCCGTGACCACTCGACTTATAACACGTGCGTAACCAACCATGACAGTAGCTTACGAATATGATCTGAACCAAGAAAAGCTAAACTTTATAATTAAATGTAGGTCGTATCCAACTATATCATATTAATGTATCCGCCTTAAGACATTTTAAATGAATAATAAGCTATAGTGATTTGCCAGGATGTCATTGCCTATGGAAATGACAAAATCGGAAGTACACGCGTCTTCAGGTAGTAGTTCTTTATGTTTAAAGTGTTCGTATGCTTCAATCGAATGTGAAAGGCTTATTTAATTTGATGTCATGTCCAAGTTTTCATTAAGCTAGCCTCCTATTCAGTGGGTACCGGGATCCTTTCCCGGGATTAAAGCCTTGCTGGGGCGTGATGCTGACCACTCACCCCTATGTAGTGCTGAGGTCAAGAATGAGTAGGGGCTATACCACCTCTCCCCCCAAGCGCCTACATGGTGCATAGTGGGACAGTGGGACTTTTAATCTTTACCCATTACTTTATGTGAAGTCTTTATTTAGTCTATTTGAAAAGAAGTTTATAATAATTTGAATTGCACTTGTGTGTGTGTGTGTGTGTGCCTCTATATTTATTTATATTGTATTTTTTATTACTTCTTCCACATGTATTTTCATTTGACTAACTTACAGATCTGGATCCAAGGAATGGAATAATATGTATAGACATGAATCGAGACCAGCGAACAAAGGGATTTGTTCTTCATTCATTATCAACACTGCTGTCAGTCAAACATTTTATACCTTTTACTTTCAGATCACAATGTGATGATACACCTGTTCTGTATTTAAAGGGTACAATTTTAAATGTTGGCTAAGTTTCATGCTTTCTGTTGGTATGCTGGACAAATACCAAGCGATCAAGTCACTTCCTTTCTAGCTCATAGTTTTTGGTCATCCTGCCAGTGGAATCATATTCTGTACTTGATATGGTGTTGATAAATGAAACAAGAAGCTATTTCCTAAAGTAATGTTAATTTTATGAGATTGTTGTAAATGTTTGTGTTCAGTGAGCTAGACTCTGGAAGAATGCTTTGTCGTTACATGTTTGTTACACTCTTAAATAATTAAGCTTTTTGTCATTCAGGGTGATTTATTGCAGTCTGAAAACAAGAAAGATACAAGTGAAATGCAGACTGTGCAGTTATTTAAAAATGTTGTCTGAAAACAGTTGTAGACAAACGTTACAGAATGTAAGTATCACAAACATCAGCAGAGAGCTCTTCCCCAAAATATTGTGCATGTGGCAAACCAATAATAATAATTCAATTACCAGCCAACAGAAACATACTCGTGCGAGAAGTGTCGGCAATCTGTAATTTTCCTAGTATCCAGGAAAATGTCTCTTTTGTGCTAGGTCTGTAAGTTTATGGGGTTTGGCATTTGTTACTTCTCCCCCAAGGACCAGTTGTCTTCATAGAGTTTTTGTGGTTAGGATCAAACTGATGCTATCGACCGAAAATCAGAAAATTTCTATCGTGATTTCTGGTACAGTTGTACTGCACCAATGTTGCGCACAGTTTAGACATTGAATCAGTATTAGCAGACTCCGACATGTGGTCTTTTGGTTCCTAGTATCATAAAACTCTCCCATGTGGCTCCAGTGTTTGCAAATGCCTCTTCCACTTGGTTGGGTCAGACATTCGCAGACTGTGCACATTTATTGCACTGTTAAAAGTGTACTTCAAAGCAGCAGAATTTTTAAAACTATTTTTTTTTCTTCTAATACAAACTCATTCATTACTGCTTTTTTGCTGTAAATTAGTAAGTTTATTTTTTTTCTGTTAATATTGTTTCCAGTACACACACTGACTTTTGCACCTGCATTTGTAGGTGAATGGTCAGGTTTTCATAGGGACAGGAAAAACTGAGGAGCTAGCCAAAGACGCAGCAGCGGAGGCAGCTTTAGCCACATTTTCACCATCGCTGCAGCCAAAAACTCGTCCTGCAAGTCATCCACCAGTTTCCTGTCAGCAGATGGCTCTACCAAAAGAAGTTGCTGACCGCATATCCGGGTGAATAAGTTTTCATTGTTCTGTAGGACACAGGAATACCTTGGAGATGGCTGTCTTCTGGGTTGTAGCATTTACCAGTGTTTCAGAGGTACTTGCTGCCTCTGAAATGTCAGTAAGCTGCTACTGGACTACACTCGCCACAACGAGAACCCCGAATTGTATGCGAGCAAACCTTGTTCGTGCAGTGTTCAGAAGACTAAAGGTTAAAGATTTCAGCAGCTGAGAAACATGCCAAAACCACTGGAAGCAACAAGGTTTCTTTGTATGATATATATTTGAGTCTTAATGTGAATTGATTATTTTGTGTCTAAAAATGCCACTAGATGCTAGTAAGGGAAATGTAAATGCAGAAATAATTAATATATCGTTATATTTTATCAACAGAATGCAGATCAGAGGCACAATACAAAGATATTTAACACACATTTTAAAAATATGGTGAGGTTAAAATTTAAGGAGCAAAAATAACAAATATTCACAGATAAATCAATAGCAGATTTAAGTTCGAAGAATGCATGATGCAGTGAAATTCAGAATCTTTTATCGTTGTGCGTTCTGTCCAAAAATGTAGCATTTAAAACACGAGCAAAGCTGTGACCTTCCCTGGTTTTTGTTTGGACGTGAATCTTGGTCTCCCATCCTAAAGGAAGAAAATTGAAAATGAAAAATAAGATTAAGTGGTGATACCTTGTTTGAATTTGGTATTGAACCTTCAGGTTTCATGACAGGCAGATTTTTTTGACTCATCTTCTTAAAAGGGCCCTGCTCACTAGTGTTCATGTTTATACAGAGGCAGTGTTAAATTATGGCCAGTTGTGTGCATGGTGATGAATTGTAGATTATGTTACTGGAAGCTGGACAAAGATTAAAAGCTGATATAAGGCAGGACACTTAGTGAAGATGAATATATTCTGTCTGGTAAATAAACCAGGAAAGTAAGTGAATGCACTACAAAGGTTGGGGCATGCTCCAAATGAAAGTTTCACTTTTATGTGAGATAGATAGTATTTATATTTTCAGAGGTGTTATAATGAACAGAATTTAATAATTTTACTCACTCTGTCTGCTAAACGAATATTTTCTTTCTTCGCCCAGGTTGGTGATTAACAAGGTTAGAGATTTGACTGAAACACAGCCCAAGCTTCAAGGAAGGAAAGTTTTTGCGGGCATTGTAATGACTTCAGGTACTCAGATGGAAGATGCAAAAGTGATTGCTGTGGCCACAGGTACCAAATGCATCTGTGGAGAATATATGAGTTTGTATGGAGCTTCGCTGAATGACAGCCATGCTGAGGTCATTACCCGCCGTTGCCTTCGCGATTTCTTCTACGGTCAGCTGGAGAAGCACATAAACTCAGGTTTGCTTCAAGTTTTTCTGATACTAGAGCAGGGCGCTCCTTTCGGAGCTCCTAGGGGGGGTTAGTCAAGTTTGTAAAACGCAACCAACCTTGGTTAGTCCCGAAGGGGAGTTAGTTTAGTGTCTCATTCAAGTGTTTTAACCCCTGAGTAAGAAACTAAACTAACCCCCCCGAATGGGGGGTTTAAACACTTGACCAACCCCCCGAAACTAACCCCCCCGAAGGGGGTTGGTTGCGTTTAAACATCTTGAGTAAGACAACTACACTAACCCCCGTGTATAAACAAATATAAGGTGATATAGTTGATGACGTCATTTTTTGACGACAACGATGGCTAATCCTTTCGGAGCGCTTCTTGTAATCTGATATTTTACTTCTTTACGTCGCTGTTCAGAGGCCAACAGTTCTGGTTCAGTCAACTTTCTACGTCCAGCCCCACCCCTGCAAATCTTCGTCTTAAAATCGATCATAAAGTCAGTCTTCATAATAGTTTTCGTAATCGTAATATATCGAATGAGTATCAGTTTACCTTATAGGAGTTGTTAGGGTTGGTACTCCAAATAATTGATAACCTCTTCTTTCACTTTTCTAATGTTTTAGGCCAACTGTCAGTCAATATTAAAGAATGCTAAGTGCTCCTTCTGGAGCAGTGATAATGCGACTGGCTTGATATTTTTTTAATTTTTTGTTGTGAAGCGTTATTTGTTTACTCGGCATTGTTGTGTTCCACAACAATGCCGAGTAAACAAATATCTGTTGACATTGTTGATGACGTCATTTTTTGACGACAAATTAGTTGACGACAACGAGGAATCACAAATTTTTATAGTAAGATTATTTTTTACAACCAGGATGTCATTTATTTTGTACAAAAAATCTTACTTCTGTCCCATTCAGCTTGTAAATCAGTTATCTGGTGTACTTTTATTTTACAGTGATATGTTTAACCCATACCAATATATTGATGTTTTTTAATGCAGTGAAAATATACACTGCCACTTTACAGTTGTGCGCGCGTGCGCCCACCCATGCATCATACATTTTCCAGTACTTAATGTGAGGGGTGTGTCTTCATAATTTGTTATGAGATGTCATTTGTTATCTGCCATGTGGTAACACTGCGGTGATTACAAGGTGGTGCGAAGTTAGGCCGGGGCAGAATACACATGGAAGAATGGGGTGAAAGGACATTAAGGGTGGTCACTGTAGCATCTGGGCAGCCTATTTGTATCTTTCCAGAGTTGAGTCATCAGTGACTGTGATGAAGTGTGTGATAGATGACCAGAAAAGCTAAAACAGATTTTGATAGAGTAAAAATTAATTAATTCAGAAGCAAACTGATGAATGAACTCTACAGAAAAGTGTGGAATAAGTGCATTGGCAGTAAGGGACAGAAAAAAGATTTGAAAGATCACTGACTCGGATGCATTTGAATCCTCCGTTTATTTGCTGCAAAGAAATCGTTTTCACATGAATACAAGGTACCCGTCAAATGTAAATTGGTTATGAAGAAGTCGCAGTCTTGTTTGTTAATTGCGCAAAGGATATCATTTGTTTATGTGAATGATAAAGTTATATTTTTATTTTTCTTAACATTTCATTTCAGTTACTTGCCAAGCTCTGCGTCTGGCCTTCAGGCCATGATGAAGTCCTTTCTGGAATAAGCGTTTGAAGAAACAAATTACATGGACAATTTGATTTAGCCATGTATCAGCATAACATATTCTCTTGCTAGTTTTGACTGAAATTGTAACATTTTTTTTTTATAATTTCAGAAACAGCAAAACAATCCATTTTTGAACCTCGACCTACTGGTTACGGCTATCAGTTGAAGGAAAATACAAAATTGCACTTATATATAAGTATTGCACCTTGTGGAGATGCTAGGTTTGTATTGAAACTAAGATGACATGCTTTATTAAACTTTGCTTTGTAAATGCAAGGAAAGCTCCAGATAATGAATGTTAAACGTATCCATTGCTGCATTTGGGTTTTCTTTTCTCCTCCCACTTTTCCGCTCACAGCTCACATTTTTATGTTTGTTGTTCTTCCAGAGCGTAAAAATGTGACTTTTTCTTGGTTGTCAGTCAGAAGACGAAGGGGTAAATAAAATTGAAAAGTATTGATCAGAACAGGACGTAATGGCTGGGATTTGTGATGGTGATGATGAACCTTTGGGTTATGTAAGAAAGTGGCAATGATTGAAGAGGTGTAAGTAGTCGGGAAGGCTCATTAATTTCGTGTACCAGATAGGTCCTAAAAACATTTTAAGAAGTTTGAATTATGACAGTTTTCTAAAACATTTTCAGATGAAAAGTTTTGTAGTATAGTGAAAATAAAGTAAAGCTGCGATTCAGCCCCTACTCATGGCTAATCTTGCCACTAGATAAGGGTGAGTACAGTTTCTAACTCCATGGAGCAAAGTGTGCCTTGAGAAACTGGTAACACTTCTGCTGGTTAAGAAATTCCTACCTTTCATGGAGGATGAAAGTTTATTATTGTGTTCACGAGATCTCGTCACTGAACTGTAACAGTTAAAATCTGGGAAGGATGAATTGCAAAAGTTTGCAACCAACCCTTTTCTGATTGGCTTGGAATTAGGCAAATGACATACCTTATACCAGTGTTTACTTCATAGCGTTCTTTAAGGTGTTCAGCTTACAGTTTAGTTGTGACATTTTTTGGCTAATTCTGGTTAAAAGGAAGTGAATTTTTTGTATTACTTTTTGCTTTAATTTAGGATGCTTTATCATGAAATATTTTTCAGATGCCTATTATTGAATCTGTTCATGTTCACGTCTGTTGTGTCTTTTAAAGGATCTTTTCTCCTCATGAGGCTGTATCTCAAGATAAGGATCCAAACAGAAGAGCACAAGGACGGTTAAGGATGAAAGTTGAGCCTGGTGAGGGAACTATCCCAGTGAAGTCAAGTGCCCGTATTCAAACTTGGGATGGAATTACACGGGTAAGTCTTGGTCTTAATCTTAAAAAGTGGAGCATCCTGTTTGCACAAAGCTTTAATTTACAGGTAAGTACTAGTAACATAAGATATAGAGCAGACATAGGTATAAGAGGAGTGTTATAGGAAGCTATAAAATAATGGAGAAATTTTATTTTCCAAATTAGTTGCCTTCATATGCAACATATTTATTCCACGTGATTTTAAGGAGCACATAAAGATTATGTGCCAGCAGATTTCTGGACACAAAATGTGCTTTGCACTATTACAGCATGTTCTCCTATTCAGGATCCAGATCCCAGTGGTGAGTCCATGTTTCATCACCTGTCACTATTGTTTAAAGGGGTAGTATCTGCATCCTGTGTGCAGGGCTTCATCTTTCAGACTGTATTCTGGAGTCAGAATTCTGAGTACTCTACTGACATTTAGCATTCGTAATTTTTCTTAAACAGTGGGGAAAGCACTGCTTATAGAAATCCTGGAACAGATATGGATTTTAATACAAATGTCGTTAGTTATCATAACTTATAGTAAAAGAAACTTAACGGAAAGAATCTTTGGCCACTGAGATGACATTGGTTGTGAAATGTACCAGCTCAGTGGAGGGGACACAGCACACTCAGAATAGCTCAGACAGTGGCTGTCAATGCCACGAACATGTAGGCTTTTAGCAGTGTTCCTGATGGCTCAAGTGTGTGACGCAGAAGAGTTCTGTATGGTACAAATAAATACATTTTGGATCTGTATTTATCATCACACCTGTGTTATTCTTTAAGTGCAAGTGCACAGGAAGGTCTTCATTGTAGCACTACAACTAATTTTCTTCATTATCTTGATTTCAGTTCTTTGGCACTTTGTGTGAGCACAGTGTTCAAGTAAATTGTGCTGGTAATTACCAGTAGGCTGTGAACGGTTAATATCTGCCTGGTATTAAATAAAGCGTGTGTGCAGTGGTTGCCTAACAGCACCCGCGCAGTTACTCGTCCTTGTGTCTACCACTTTACATCATAAGTGTAATTGTAATAATTCAACTCTGTGAATGTAGTTACTTCTTCTTTTAGGACGAGAGATTGCTGACAATGTCATGTTCAGACAAGATTGCCAGGTGGAATGTTGTCGGATTGCAGGAAGCATTACTGTCACATTTTGTTGAACCTGTTTACCTGGAGAGTATTACACTTGGATGATTATTTCATCGCGAATATTTGTACAGGCAAGTGAATTCTTATAAAATTAATCAATTTCTGTCTGTAATTTGTAAGAATTGTCCCGATGATGGAGGCAGCAAGCACCTCTGAAACGTTGGTAAACTACCAGACTACACCATGCAACAACCCAGAAGATAGTCATTTTCATTAATTGCCATGTTTTCAAAATGTTCTTTTGTAGCAGTGTATCTTGAAAATTTTTGAAACTAAATTCTATTTTATGCTGTGTCATGTCACAACTGAAGAACCATTGAACTGATTTCAATAAAATTTTGTATTGGAGGATTTTGTTTATATTATCATCTGTTTATGTTTTTTTCCATCTTATAACATTTTAGTTATTTGAAGAATGTTTTAAAGCAGCTTTGTTGCAATGATTGTAATTTTGGCCAGTATTTATGAAAAATATTTGCAAATTCATAATTTTTCTTTGCATTCTGGCAGTCTGTATATAAGGAAATTTGTAAAGTCACTTGTTTCCAGGGCTGTGTGTGGTAGGATTGAAAATATAATCCCAGGACTTCCTCGTACTTATCGACTGAAAAAGCCATGTATGAACCTTATTACTTCACCAGACCAGGAACGTTGTGAAAGTACCGCACCTAAGTACACTGTGAACTGGACCACAGGTTGGGAGATGCATGGTTCGTAGTATTAATTATAATTAATGCTTTAAAATATGGCGCTCCACTCACACGCCTGCTCCCACTGGCTCGGGGCAGGCTACTCCATTCACAACCCTGTTCCTATAAACCTAGCCCCCACCCACACTATTGGCATATTCATCGCCCTGACGATGGAGACAGAATTATCTCTGAAACGTTGGTAAACATCGACCAGACTACACAGCGCAAGAACCCAGAAGAGAGAAATCTTTAAATCTGTGGTATTTCACACAAAAAATCAGATATCCCTCTTGAGAATCTTACAAAAACTTATCCAATATACACTAAGTCATTCTTGTCCACCTATTAAGAGGTACAAGAAATGTCATGAGAATTCTTAATTTTGTACAGGGTGTATTTTGGAGGTTGTTTATTTGGGAATTGAGTCCAAGCAGTTGGCACAGGGCAAAAAAATTTTCATTATAGCTGTATTCCTGTAGGAAGAATGAATTAAGCTATAAACAATCTCAGAAGGAGAAAAGTCTCAGGACATGTAAAACATTGACAGTTCCCCCCCCCCAAATAAACCACAAAAAAACAAAAAGAACCACTTTGTACCACTCGTGTTTTCTATTCAGAAGGCCACGACTGACTATTGTTATATAATTTTAAATTCTTTGTAGACATTGATGAACGACTCTTGGGCTACAAAGCCACGTCAGGTGGCTGAAGTGAACAAACCATATCTTCTGCCAACGTTTCGAGAACAATCTCTGCTCTCATGATCAGGGCTGCTGCGTAACAAATCTGATCCTTTGTAGCCCATCAGCAAGAGATTTCATTAATTCTTGATTCAAGCAAGCCTACAGTAGTTAGATTTTGTAAGTAATGTCAATGTGGTGGATGAATTTTTGTTACCTGAAGATTTCAAAAACTCCCAGAATGAGTACGAATGGGACCGGATTAACTGCGAGTGGGTGAAGAGCCTACATAGTCTTAACAGAATATAACTTAAAAATCGAAAAGCAAGCAGCGAACATTTTTGCTATACAATGGCCACCTCGTTTCTTACATAACCTTGACTCTTTCAAGAGATAATTAAGGTTATAACAATTACTACAGATATTTTTAAGCCAAAACAAATATTTCAACATACATCGCAGGCTGTACATTCCACTGATTGATCAGTTCGTAATATGAAATCTATGTGCTCTGTCAAAATGTTTCTCGACAACAAACAACTTAAAAGAAAGCTGATGTTTCTACGCGGCCTTTAAGAAGTGATCACCAACCACCAAACAAATTCCTATTACAAATTAATGGATTTGCAGCGCAAGACAAACGGAAATACTTGATTGTCGGAAAACTTAAAGAGGGCAACAGCTTGTAACAAGGCATCAGAAACGTCTGTTGGAAGACAGAAGCAATGGTTCACGGTTAGAATTAATTTCTCATTTCAAGAACTCGCGCAACTTTATTAAAAACACAAACAAATTAACGTATGCACAAATTCTCGAAAGATTCTCTCCTAACAATGAAACATGTATTCATAGTCCTGATGAAAGAGGCAGTGTGACCGCCGAAACGTTGGTTAACATCGATAAGACTACACAGCGCAACAACCCAGAATACAGAAATCTTCATATTTTTAGTCGCCCTGATGAAGGAGGCAGCATGACCTCTGAAACGTTGGTTAACATCTACCAGACTACACAGCGCAACAACCCAGAAGACAGAAATCTTTATACTCATCGCCCTGATGATGGAGGCAGTATGACCTCTGAAACGTTGATTAACATCGACCAGACTACACAGCGCAACAACCCCGAAGACAGAAATCTTCATACTCATCGCCCTGATGATGGAGGCAGTATGACCTCTGAAACGTTGGTTAACATCGACCAGACTACACAGCGCAACAACCCCGAAGACAGAAATCTTCATACTCATCGCCCTGATGATGGAGGCAGTATGACCTCTGAAACGTTGTCGACCAGACTACACAGCGCATATTTCAGACAGAGCAACTCACAGCAGCTTTCAATGTTGCCGGCAGTACCAACTTTCTTCTGGACTTTGTCGGTTGTCTTTAAATATTAAAACCAAGACGTTTTGGACATGGATTCTATTTCTCTCTCCAGTTCAATTGACTGTCGCTCTGGTACAACCGCACTTAAAAATTAGTACAAAAACCACCTACGTCTTCTGGGATGTTGTCTCTTAGAAATTATCGGACGTTTCAGAGGTGCTTCTGCCTCCATCAAGTAAAAAATGCAGTAAGTACGTCTGAAATGCCACTCAGTTTCTACGGCGCAACGCCCAGAAGATATTCTTCTTCTTCTTCCTCTCCGCCGTGAGATTTCATGACAACGAACAAGTAAGAAAAGACAATCAGCCGTGTAGAAATACAGGTTTCTGCATCAAAGGGGATGAAACATTTCTCATATGAATTGACGTCTATTATGTCCTTACTTCACGTGTTAATCAACTACGTCAGTATTAAAATGGATGTTAGAGGGTGGAGAATGAAGGTGTGGATTGTCTACAGCTGTTTGTGGATGTGGCTTAGAGGCGGGGTCTTGTAAACACGGGCATGAAACTTTATGTTTTTTAAAAGGCGAGGCATTTAATCACCTGGGCTACTGATAGATTCTCAAGTAGGGCTTCGGGTCCATAGATTCAGTTTGTTTCTTTGTTGTAGAATGCCTGTTGAGATTCAATACAAAATTACAAAGCTTTAAATGTGACATATAACTAACTAACTAACTAAGTAACTAGACGCCTTACGGAACACGACGTTTTGTAAAGAGTAAGACGTCGATATTTATCATTCAATTCGTCTCTCAAGGCAATGTTAGTTACTTTATGTACGATGTGACATTTTAGGTTCTAAGGTCTTTAGGTAATTTGGGTGGCACTTTAGCTCTAGACACCGCAATATTTTCTGAATACGACGCTCCGAATTGTTTATGTACTTTTCACAGAATGCAGACCGCAATGTAAAACTCACGTTCATATTATCATCTTCTCATTGCCTTGAACTTGAGGTCGCCGACAGGAGGTTTGGCGTTCGGAATTCCAAGAAACGCCACGTACTTTTTCTTGTTTTGGATAGATGCTAAAACTTTTCTCTTCAACAAATCTTGTTGGACTCTAAGAATTGGTTTTCTTGAGGTCTGCTCCTCCGACGCGAGGCTGCTACACGTGCAGACCATCTCCAGTGCCATCGCGGAGATCCATCGGCCCGCCATGTCTCCACGTCTGTGCGCTGGACTCCAGAGACCTAGATCCATTTTAAGTTATTGCATTATTTATCAGCAGCATAAAAAGTTAGATTAGGTTACAATTATTCAGTTTAATTTAAAAAATTTGAAATACTTTCTTGTGTATTAAAAATGTGTGAGTCTCGTGGAAATGTCGGTGAATCAAATAGGAACCTAAAAGTCAGAACGAAATCACATGTTCAGTTGTTGGGCTTTAAAAGCAAGAGCGATAC